AAGGAATGTCGTCCCTCTCGGGATAATGGAGGACCTCATGGAGGCGGCCATTACACAAACTTGCCCCTAGCCATGGTGGATGACTTCGTCTCCACACATTCAAGTCCAACTACAGAAAAGCAACTACACAAAGGGCCCTTAGCTTACCCTATTGTGATCAGCCAATCGTCGAGTTCATCTTCTCCACAACCTCAACTCAATTCACCTACACTTTTAGGCATTCCAAGCCTCATTATAGCTCGTCGGGCTTCTAGACATCACTCAATCTTTAGGAAGCCTTTACTCGGAACTTTCTTGTAGACTCGCGCAATCCTACTCGGTACTACTAAGCTCGCACACACTACAGAGCTTTCCTAGTGCATACTCGGCACTATTGAGCTCTCTCAAACATGGATCATTAGATCTAAGAAGCTACCCTACTCTCGCTTAGCCAACTAGGGGTGACAATGTCAATCATAATTTGTGTAGCGTTATATTTTTTTTAATTTTTAAAGTTCAGTTTTTCTTGTAGCCCTCTTTACCCAATAAATAAAGATGATTTATAGCACTTGGCACTTCTTAATCTTCGTAGATTTTTTTGACTTATTGAGATTCTAAGCTTTTTAGCACTCATTTTATAGCTTTTCACTAATTTTTCTGTATCATGTATTCATTTTCTCCATTCTTACACTAGTTCTAGTTCACTCTAAGTATTTGTCTGCTAGTAAGGTCAAGTGTCCTCCACGGCAGGGGTGGAACCCCTTTATGGCTACGGGGGGTGGGGGCAGTTGGCCCCCTTGATTTTTTTTTTTTCATTATATTATTACTTAGGTAATTTTTAGACTTTATTATAAAGATTTTTAGGCAATTGCCCTCCCTAAAAATGTTAAAATACTACGATCTTTAGGCAATTGTCCCCAATATAATTAAATACAATGTGCAGATATGTTATTGTTAGGGAATGATGAACCAAATACAAAGAGAAATAATAAATCAAAATTTGCCCCCGCTGGGGCGCTGCCCTTGACCCCGCGATCTGACCTGGCAGGTCGAACCCTGCCAGGGGCACTGCTCCACCGAACCCCCGACATATATGCAAACAGTTACTTATAAGTTTGCCCCCTTGAAAATAATGGCTGGTTCCGCCCCTGATCCGTGGTTAAATTTAAATCCAACGAATGAGATATACAATATCTGATATGTATCAAACACAAACACGCATCCGACACGCATCAGACGCAACTATCACTTATCTAACTAAAAAACTTTTAAAAAAAATTAGACATGCTTCTCCTAAGAACTTAATTAAAATTTTATAAAGAAAGTCATTTGTTTATTCTTCATTTTACTTCTCTCACAAATCTTTTTTTAATCTATGAACGAGGTTTCTTTTACATTATCGAGCAGCCTCCATTAAAAAAGTATAATGGCTAAATCACCTAAATTGAATAAAGTTGTTCATGAAATAGATCTTCTGACATGCATAATGAGGGTCCAAGAACCAACAAGGTTGTTTTTAAGAAGGCCTTTGGCAAAGCCTAAGGCTACTAAGAAGGGATGAGCATGCTAATATTGACTCCAGTGGCAACTAAAAGGCTCCCCTTCTTATAATTTTATCAAATTTCCTAATGTTATATTATTAACCTTCACCATATCTATTAGATATGCCACTGGCATAATCCTATATTAGTAGCCAAACTATTTACATATCAAAACATTGATATCTATCTAAAACTCTCTTTTTTCCTTTCTCCTCTTTGATGATCTCAATAGGTCTTAATAGTTATTAGAAATTATACTATAATATTTAATCCAACAAATGTTAATACAATTTTTTTAAAATAATTGAGCATTACATTGATAAAATATAGTAGACAGAAATTATATAGAATGAGTTTCATGTTAGAAGCTGGAAGAGTTATGTGCCATGAGAGCTATTTTTGTTGTCTTTTTTGTCGTTCTCTTTTGAGTGGGGAGATAATATATTCAGAAGCTCAACATAAATCTTAATGATAGAATTGAAAGTTAGAATCAATATCGATGGTGTGCATCAACCTTATATAATTAGCTATAGTTCTCAGGAGATTATAATCGGTTTGATAGACTCATCTCGTCGAGACACTCGATTTTATTATAAGTTGTGAGATTTAAAGATCATTTGATGCCATAATGAAATCCCCAAAGTTTTCAATTAAATTTTGAGTGCTTGATTCAAATTTATTTGAACTCAAATCATATCACTTTTAGAGCCCATTTGGGACCGTAATCGAGCTACGACAGTCAGGAGACTGTAGTCGTGTGACAGTAATCTGAAGGACTATAATCAGTAGGCGACGGAGGTCAGAAAGACTATTGTCTGGTGATGATCGATGGTCGGGCTTGAGTCCGGAGTCAGTTGGTGACTAGGTGGAAGTTTGACGATAATTGGTGGCTGGGTGAAAGTTCAGCAAAAGTATAATGACGATCAGTGAATATGTTATAGTCAATGAAGAGCTTGGTGGTAAGAGAGGTCTCAATTTTCTCTTCCCCTCCCTTCCTTGTTTGTCCCCCAACCCCCCCCCCCCACACATGGACTTGTTGGATTCATTTCATCAAGCCACTCTATTCGACTATAAGCATGTCACATTTAGAGATCATTTGATCATCCAATTTATGATTTGAACCTTCCAACTGTGCTTCAGGTCCTCGATTTGGATCATTTGAGCTTGGATTGGGTTGAATTTGAAGTAATTGAGTTCGTCTTTTCGAGACGTTCAGTTGACAATGAGTTTGCTGAAATCGGAGTTCGAATGGTCCAGAATTTAATGTTAAAAGTTTTCAATTCAAATTTATTTCGAGATTCATGTTTGATTAGCTAAATTTTTTATGACATATCAAAATGGATTCATATTATTAAAATGCTCAGTTTAATAGAGAAAGGCGCTTCTTTTAATTAAAAGCTTGTTTGTTTCAGTGATATGCCGATAACATAGGTAATTAAAATCCAGTGATATGACGTCCTTTAGCCTACACCGAAGGGGGCTTAGGCTGAGGATTGATATGACATCAAGACAATGAGTGTACAATCGATCCACAACCAGAGCAAGGTGAGGGTTTCCAGTCGATAACACTTTCAGAGAAACATCCTCGCCATCCAATGAAATAAGAAAACCACTCCCCAAGCTGGTGGCGAGGGGAGAAGGAAGAGGGGAGGTGGCGGGAACAGAGCTAGGGCAAAAAAAAAAAAAACTAGCTGAACAAAACTCGTTTATTGATTCGCTTTACTTTGGTTTTGCTTGCTCATTCATTTGGCGATATTTCACTTATAACTCACTGGCTGCTAATTGGTTAAGATTTAAATATAACTCCCCTTGGAAAGCCCCACCCCACAAGTCATCTAAATTCTAGAAGGCTATAAGCCTCATTGTCTGTCGGATTAGGGGAAAAATTTTGTTCCATGTTTCCAGCAAGAATTACAAATGTTTGATCATTGGGACCCTTGGTGCAACGGCTTGGTAGTCTCAGAGTTTATGCCGCCATCTCCCTCGAATTTGCTTGAGGTTAATGAATTTATCTACAGGGGTGCTTGGAAGTTACTAGGACACTTATGCCAGTTGGCCTCACACCACATTACTTGGATCCCAATTCTTTACCAGCCCCCTCCCCTTTATCCTGGTTTGGTTCTGATAAACCTTGTTTCAAGACCTTCTGATAAACCTTTAACTGCTCTCTTTTGCCGACTAGAGGATGAAAGGATCAACCATATCTTCTTCCAGTGTGATTACTCGTTTATGGTTGTTTCTATTCTTATACCCTCCCTACAAAATTTTCTTCTTAGGCCTACCTTCAATTTTTTCAATTTTTTGAGGAACATCGGCGAGAAAGAAATTTTTGTTACCTTGTGGTTTGCTACTCTGTTTATTTTCTTTGGAGGGCTAGAAATGATATTCATTTTATTGGAGCTTTTATATATATACAATCAACTTACTGAAAAATCATCAATGCTATACGAGCTAAGGTCTCATCTTGGAAGAACTATGTAATGCTACTATCTTCTTACCCTCATATTTCGTATTCTAATTTTGTCTTTGGGGGCATTCAACTATGCCGCTGGAATTTTGAATTTCACCCCAAATCTCCCGGCTTTTGGCCGCGTGTGGGAATTCGTATGTGCTGCTGTCACCAGACGATGATGAGTTGAACTAACATTTGGCTGGTTTCTTCCTTTAAACAACCACATTGCTTTTTGGTTTGCATCTCCTTGGCCTGGCAACACTATCTTGTTGTACCCGTTGATTGATTTTCTATTTTGCACCGTTGGCAAGCAGGGAAGTTCTACTCTTCTCGAGTTTGCTAGTCTTCCTGATGCTCTTGAAGCATCTTTTTGCTTAAGATGTTAGTTCCTGTTTTACTGAGTCCGGGCTTTTTGTCTACCTTTCTCTTACAGGGTTTATTCTTTACCTTTTATCTTATTTTGCTTCTTCTCCTGTAATTGAGGTATAGAGTTGTTTTTTAGTTCATTTTGTAATCCTCTTTTTTCTTAATATATACGCCCCCAATTTCTCCCAATAAGCCATGCCACTAACAAGCCCAAAACAAAAATTACACAACTACCCAAAACGGCCGTTGATTAACAGAAGCTATGTCGTTCAAAAATCAACGGCGGTTATAAAACAAATAAAATAACAATTCGAGCTGATTAGCGGTTGCTAGTTGCTACAAATCTCGGTTTAAAAAAAAACAACCGGCAAATAAAGATTTTCTTCTTTGGTTTTATGGTAAGCTTAAATAAACCGGTTCAAACCGAAAACGGTTGATGTGCTCCGTTTCCGGTTCATGAAGCCATTCCTCTTTGGCTCAGGTGTTCATTACCTAAAACCACGGTATGGTTGCCCTCGTTTCCGGCCGACAACTCGACCCGGTCTTGGTCACCGCAGATCGGCCGGTCGAATCGCCAAACCGCAAAGCCCTACAAGAAGGCCGAGAGCGACCGACCTCTTTTGACGCGGGACAGAGAGGGAGAGAGAGAGATTGCGTGTGTATAAGAAGGAAGCGAAGTAGCTCCGAATCCGATCGGCTGCAATGGCTTCGCAGAGAGACCGCGAGAGCTTCGTCTACATCGCGAAGCTTGCTGAACAGGCGGAGCGCTACGATGGTGAGACCTCTTGAAACACTTACGTCTTCTCACATGGGGGATTAGGGTTATAGTTTGACGTTTGATTTATATTTTGGTCGAGGCAGAGATGGTGGATGCAATGAGGAAGGTGGCGAAGCTGGATGTGGAGCTCACGGTGGAAGAGCGGAATCTGCTGTCAGTTGGATACAAGAATGTGATCGGGGCGCGGAGGGCCTCGTGGAGGATTTTGTCTTCGATTGAGCAGAAGGAGGAGGCGAAGGGGAATGACCTGCACGTGAAGAGGATCAGGGAGTATCGGCAGAAGGTGGAGTCGGAGCTTTCCAATATCTGCAACGACGTTATGGCTGTTATTGATGAGCATCTCATCCCCTCCGCCACTGCTGGAGAGTCATCTGTTTTCTACTACAAAATGTAAAGATTTGAGTTAAAGATTTCCCTATTTTGATTTACTATCTTATATTTTATTTCGAGATTGTGAATATCTAAACATTATGGTTTTAGGAAAGGAGATTATTATCGTTATCTGGCAGAGTTTAAGTCTGGGAATGATAGAAAGGAAGCTGCTGAACAATCTCTTGAGGCGTACCAGGTCAGGGCCTTGCCTTGTTTTCACTCTTTTACTTAACTGTAAGTATTACGAATCTGCTCTTTAGGGCATCTCCAACCGATCTCCAAACGCTTGAATGGAGCTCCCGGCCAGCTCCAGCCGAACTGCAAAAGTTCCGCTATATGGCTGCGGGTGAACAGTGGTACGCCAATATTGGCGTTGCACTGTTCATCTCCGCCATTTTTACCACTCTACCGAACTTGTCGCGGGAAAAAAAGAGGCGACGGTTAACTGCAAAAGGGTGAAAAACGCGTTCCATTGGAGATGAAATCACGGCATTTTGTAGTTTCCGGCATTTTGGAGTGAAAAAAATGAGATTTTCGGTTGGAGATGATCTTAATACATATATTTCTGTTGTCTTCGCTTTTTTTCTTCACAGGTCAAAGCATGACACGTGTATTTTTGCTCGTCTAAGATATGTATTTGCACATTGACGTCACATAGTATTTCGTTTAGGTTCTTGTTTATCCTGTTCCTATTGAAACATTTTGATACGCTTAACATACTGAGCAATAAGAAGTTTGAGAGTTATCATTTATGTCTCGTCTAAAAGAACGCCACATCTCTCTGTCCCTCAAACGTGCTCCATTAATTGGCAGCGTTGGTTGGTGCTGCAAAAAATTAATGAGCATAAGCTTAAGGATTACATGCTCCATTAAGAAAATATATTATAAGTTAAATCAATAGGGGATAATTAAGGAATTTCATTAGTTTTTGGAACAAGTTGACAAAATAAATTGCATTCCTTGAACAAAACCTTAAAGAGTGAATTCACCCTGGCTTTTCAGTCTATTTTTAACTTATTTTTTCACCTTGGTTATTTGTTAGTTTCTATCTTTGGCAGCCCCCTGATCCATCAGATTATTCTTCTTTGTGAACCGCCTGATCCCATCAGATTGTTCATCTTTGTGAACTGCCTGATCCCATCAGATTGTCATTTTGTGGATATGCAAACCATACTCTGTCTGCGGTAGATTAAATTGTTCACAGACAATTGTTTTGAGACCCTAATGCTGGATTCTAGAGATTAATTTTTTTAATAATAATGCTATGAAGACTCCTTAAAGTGGAAAATTTGTTTGATGCCCATGCATAATGTTACAGTCGTCCCTACTCATTACTTAAATTATGTGAAATTACCTTCCTTATTTGACGGTGATCTTACTGAAGGCCATGGAGATTACCGGCCATACTCTTTTGATTGTTTCATTGACAAAAAGTGCATGTTTAGTTGGTGGGGGTGGTAGGGGTGGAGGGTAGTTGAGCCCCATTCCTCAAATTTATATTTTATGAATAAAAAATAGCTTTGTATTGAGTCTATTGACACTATTATTTTTTTTTGCACTTTATCTTTGTATAATTTCTTCTTATGCTCTTGTTTACAATCAAATCTAACTTCAATCTCAATTTGAAGTAGGCAGCTGAGTATGAAATTGAAACTAAGCAGAACAAACTAAATGCTTGCTCGATTTGGTTTGTTTTTTTGATTAATGGGAAAATGTTATATGATTCTATTTGATTTGGTTTTATCTTGTCTATTTTAAAATGGTTCATTGGTTCAGTGTATTTCTGCTTCGTGCGCCTAAAAGTATAATAGGATAAGGTTCATAAAATCAATTACAACACAAATGCATGGCTCATATGCATCATACACAACCTAAGCTGTGTTAGTCATACTACATAATTCTAAATGAACTCAAACCTAACATAATAACATTGATAGGTTTTCTAGTTTCCATTGACTCTTTTGTTTCACTAGTTTCTTTGCACAGAGTTACTCATATTTTATTGCATTCCCTCAACCAAAGGACTAGAACCACAGCTGGTTTGCATCTCTTTAGTTCTCTTTTCAAACCATGCTTTCTTTTTTCATGGATATGCTTCAAAAGCAAATGGGTGCTACTGAGACGCCACTACAAATCTACTTGTATAATAATCAGTTTGATATCTTTGCACAAGTTCTTAATCCGCTCTAGTTTGCATGATTGCTATCTACCGTGCATGTCTGCTATTCATTTCATCTTACAAAGAAACATAATGGTTTTTTCGATTTTCCCATGATTTGCCGCTTGGGTTCACTACTGCAGGGAAAATTCCTTATTCCAGTAAGTCTGTGATTCGAGATGATGTTATACATTCTACTTTAGTTAAATACCCTGTTAAGCATCTGCTGGTCATACTGGGATGTGGATAATAATAATAATAATCATCCTTTTGTGTTTGTTTATTGTTGTTTGTATTCTTGGGGTCTGTACTAGTCAAAGTGCATGTGTAATTGATGTTAGATAAAATATATATCTTTTATTGGAACAATTATATCATGGTTAGAGAAATTGTTACTTCTCTTTTAGATGAAAATATTCTGGTTAGTGAAGTGTTCCAATAGCTTTCCTAGGATTTATGTGACTATAACTTGTTAATTGGTTTTGGTTGCAAACTTCATTTCAAACCACCCGAAGCTTATTTTTAAGCTGAGGATTGTGAAGATAATAAGTTTTTTTTTTTGGTATAACCAAGCTTCTAAGTTTCTTTGAGATTGATTGCAACATGATATTAGATTCAAAAAAACCATTGCTTGGGATGTGGGATTGATTTTTTTTTTTTTTTACTGGTCAATATGAAGATGTGAATGGAGACCTTAGATTTGTAAGATTCAATTATGCATTGAAGTATTATTCGGATTGCTATAAACCAGCTTCTCCAAGGGATCTTTTGGGATTTCCCTTAAAAATATCTGGAAAGGAAATTCTGATTTAAAACCTTTGATGCTTGTCTTTGACTCTTTTTTTTTAAGCTTACAAGGCTTGGTACATATGGGACTATTCTTCATTTAGAAGTTTAGAACATTCTTGGGCATTCAGGAAGGAAAATTACTTGATATGAAATATCTCTTACACGAAATAAAATCCAATTGATTGGTAGTTTCGAATTATTTTAAATTAGGAATGTGAACAGATGGATGTGGCATCAATTTGGATGAACCTTCTGTCTCCAGTTAAAAATGCTCTCCAGTAGAAAATGCTTGTGCCTGATGTTTCTTGTTGAGTTGATCATGAATTTGTGATTTATTCTCTTGTGTCTCAATATGAAATGTGAAGAGATCATCAATGCCAAAAATATTTTATTTTACCTTATGTGTTTCTTCCTCTAGCTACAAGATTACCCGATTCCCAAGATATAGATAATCGTGTACATTTATAGTTTTAGCTTGATTGCATGATTTAATTATGGGCTTATATTTCTGACTAATGTTTCTAAGTTATCCATGATCTCTGTATCTAAGAGGGAAATCCCCATTTTGTGTCTATTCATCTGTGGATTGGTTATGCTCTTTTCCTATTTTAACATGCTCTTTGAAACTCAAACTAGTGTTTGTTCCTTTATCATTCAGTTGGGCTTTTTTTTGCGAGAAATTGAGAGTTTTATTTGTGTTGCCGTATGGCATAATAATTTGATTAAATTCTTTCATCAAACTATTTGCAGGTGGCTTCAAGCACAGCTGAGGCAGATCTATCTCCTACACATCCTATTCGCCTAGGCTTGGCACTGAATTTTTCAGTCTTTTACTATGAGATTATGAACTCACCTGAAAGGTGTTTGATCCTTATGATATCAGAACTTTTTGAGAAATTTGCTGATATTTATTAAAATAATGATGCCATCATATTAATTTTGTTACGTAATGGTTTCCAGGGCTTGCCACCTTGCCAAACAAGCTTTTGATGAAGCCATTTCGGAGCTGGATACCTTGAGTGAAGAGTCATACAAGGACAGTACGTTGATTATGCAACTTCTCAGGGATAACCTTACCTTGTGGACCACTGATATCCCCGGAGATGAAGGTTAGTTCTGCTAGAATCTATTCATTTTAGATTAGCTGCAGTGCTTTGAATTCGTGATGCTTGCATAGCGTCCAGTGTTTAATTCCTAGTATTATTGAAACTGTCGTTCACCTAGCTATTCATTAAATGCTGGCTGATTTATTTTGTGATTCCAACAACTCATTTTAAAAGTTCATAAACTTTTTGTCTCTAAAATTTTGATGACTTGATTTTGTGCTAAAGGTGAAGAAGATACTTATGCGGACCTGTTTTTTCAGAAACTAATTGAGCTTTGAATGAGAAAATTTTGGGAAAAGAAATGCAAAGTCTATTATACGATAAATTATGTTGTCTGAAATGATATTTTTGATATAACAAAATTAAAAGGGTAAAGCATGATTTGCTGATCAACCACCTTATCTCTTCCAGGCTATTCAGGCATAGTAATCATGAGATGGTTTCCAAGGTTTAAATCCTGGTCATATTCCATAGAAAACCTTGTTTTAATTGCTAGGTTAAATTCAAGATTTATTTAGTATCAAACTAATAAAACAAGCTATATGCTAAATGAAATGGTTAGAGAATAGGAATAGTAGTAGGAATAATTTCAAAACTTATGTTAGATTTATAATTTTTTATTTTTGGATTCAAACAATGAAATCATTGGGGTAGCTGATTGAATAAATGAAGTATGAGAGTAATTACATTAATATTGAAGAAATAGTAAGGTTTTGTTCTATACTAATGAACAACAGAGACTATTGTGGATGTAACGTCATAAAAGAATGAGATGAAAACATAAAGAGTTGATCTTTATATGTTTTTTTCATGAACATTGGATATGCATATGGTACAATGCAGTGTGTTCATAAAGGTGGGATGGAGTTTGCTAGGTTTAGGAATCTTTGTTTAATACAAAATGAAGGGGCAAATAGGTGTTGGTATAATTAGTACTATTAAATTAAGAGGTTATATTGTAATGATTTATGATAAAGATAGTTATAACTGCTACAATAACAATATCAAGCTTTTATTACCAATACGTGGAAATTATTGAAATAATTGTAGGTCTAGAGTGTCCAATAATGTTACATGGATCTTTATGTTGGGCCCCAAAGAATGTCTAAATAAATAATTTAATTTTAATACCAATTAAAATTAAGAATGTAAGATTGATGCTTGTTGGTAAAACCAGTTAGAATTAAGTGAAAAATAACTACATCAAAGGAGTTTGAAACTTTGAATAAGATGATTTTGAAATAAGATGATTTTATTCATGTTTAAATTGTCAGTTGACCATATGTGGGCTTTGAAATAAGATGATTTTGTTCATGTTATCCATAAATAAATCTTTAAGAAACAAGTATTAGATTAAAACACTTCCTTTATATTTCACAATAGATTTAAAAACATCACCTTTAAATTTCCACCTCATTTGAGGACTTACTATTCCTAGTTTGAGGTTTCTTATGAATTTATAAAGATCTATTGTGATGGCTCGTATTGTATGTTTCGACTAGCTATGATGTTACTTGAAAAAGATTTAGTTCATATGCTCAGGGGAAATATTGGGGGAATAGTGACAAAATTAATTAAAATCTCATGGTTATATCATGTTGGGTATGTTGGCATACCTTGGTTTGAATAGTCAATGGATGGTGTTTTGTTGATACTTGACATGAGGGTTTTTTGCATCATCTACGAAGATCTTAAAGACCAGGGATGAAAAATTATCAAGGAGGAAAATTTGGCAACCGACCTTGACTAAGAGAAAAGATTCATACCCTATCAAATACACCATACAACTCAAAGTGCTATACACAGGGCATTTAGATAAACATCTAGGCTTTGCTCTTCTTCCAAGTGAAGCAAGATAGTAACATTTTAATCATAACAATCAAACGCAAAAAATGGTTATCTTATCCTTTTCTCACATATGATATATGAGTGTGATCATATAGTTACATTGATATGATATTGATTACTTTATGAGCTTTGGTTAAACTTTAAATTTGACTCTGGCAAGCTTGAAACAAGTGATGAATGTGTGACAACTTTGAGCATGTAATAGATGTTATTCTTTTGGATTTTTTTTTTCGTATTTTAATATTTTTGGTAAGAGGACTCCTGTCTACAAAGACTTGATAATGGATGTGAAAAATCTCTCAACTCAAAATTTATTTATTGTTTTGCCCTTTATTTAGAAAAGTGTGGTTGATTGATGGGGGCTTTGAATTCCAAAGGTTTATTCCTCATTTGAATTTCAGGAGTATTGGTGATCATGATGATCCCTTAAATTTTGGTATTTGGTTATTGCACCCCATCAATAGGATGGTGGAGCTCTCAATGCTATATTTAGTTATGAAGGCAATGGACAACATTGTTAATCCATTTATTTGTGATTTGTAATAATTTTCACCATCATTAGGGGATGAAGATTTTGAATTTGAATTTTAAAATAGGCGTAGAATAATGGTGTTGTTTCATCCGGTAATGATGGATAATGATAACACCCATAATTAGGTGGTGAACCTTCTGGGTCTTTTATATTTTATATTTTTTAAAATCTTTATATCAATGATTTGGAGATGAAAATAATGATGCATTTGAGGGCAGAGCCATAAAGCTTTTTTTTTTTTACTTAGGATTATTTTATTTTTTGGTTCTTTATGGAGATGGTGATAATTAATCCCTCTAATTATTTTCTTTCAATAATTGCATCTATTATTGATGTGATAAGGACATTGTTTATTTGAATTTACTAGGGGTTTTTCTACATATTTGGTGTAGTGACAATGTTTCTCTTTAATGATGTTTTTATAGTAATTGTACCCTAAGTGATGAAGAGCCTTCTATGTTTGGAGTCGATGGAAATAGTGATATTGCTCCCTCCAGTTACAAGTTTTGGTGGTTGCACCCATCATTAAAAAAACTAGAGACTTTAGGGTATTCATATTCTGTACTTGTGACTTCTTAAGAAGACATTATTGATTTAGAGGAAGGCGACCACCATACCACTACAAGTGGGGCACATAACTTTGGTCAAGAACTCAATTGATTTTCTATATATGCGCATTTGTGCATAAGAGCTAGCACTGCATGATTTATTGTTGATTGAAAACCCTTCCAAAAGTTTGTTCTTAGGAATATCGTGCTACTCTTCGATTTTATCATATTTTAAGACAATGGAAAGTCTTAGTTGACAAATGTAATATTTAGGGACTTAATTTGTATTTGATTTATTCAACCAATTTCAACTCAGACTATTAGTCTGACTACCTTAGTTTGAGCCTTTGAGGGCAAGATCTTGGATTTAAGATTTACCATATTTTATAATCCGAGGATAATTGAATTATTAACTCACAAATTGTAGTTGATACCTGCTGTAGTTTAGCGTCATTATTATATCTCTTGAGTTTTATTTTGTAGTGTCAATGTTATGTAATATTCGTTGAATAACTAGAGATGGTTCAAGAACAAGACTTGTCAACCAACTTATTGCATCCAATAAGGTTTGAAATTATGCAATTGGATATTGAGGTGTTTTATTTCCATGTGGTGAGACATAAGTCTCAAGGCTTTTTAAGATGTGAGCCTCAAAATTAAACCAATAAATTAATGACAAGTATTACATAATATGTAACATACAAACACAAAATAAGATATTAAAATAAAATCATAAAAAGTCAAATTCAGGCCATTAAAACTCATTCAATTTTACAACTAATGCTAAATAAGTCGTCTCTCTTACTCTTAATTCAACATAAACAAGTAGTCTAATGTCATAATTTATGAATTTAAAATTCTCTTGTTCTTATCGAGGATGTTCATTAAAATCATCATTCTAGTTAATTGATTTTTTTCCTCTCTCATATTAAAATTATGAAAACAGGTATCCAACAGCAAGAGGAGAGCATTGAAGGAGAAGCGGTGGCAATAAGCTATGATGAAGATACAATAGGATTGGGTAAGGGTGTAAAGGTTTTGCGTCGTGTGGGTTGAGAGTTTGAGGTTTTGTGTTTCTTTTCAAATTTGGTTTGGTTCATGTATAGTAAATATATTTAATTATTTATAAAAATTTAAAATTTAAAATTTAAAATAGCTAAAATACTAATTTTCAATTCTTAAGCCTCTTCAAAGTTGCGTAAAAATTGCACCGAGGCTTGCCTTGTGGCGCATTTCATCCAACTGATGTGTAAGCCTCATCTGGTAAGCATGAGGCGTACTTCTCATTGTTTTTTTATTTTATTGTGTTGAGTCAGCTTCTAATTCCGCAATTTTAAACCTTGGCATCCAACCAGTGTGACCTGGTTCCTTAGGAGGATAGTTGACTCAATTAAATCTATATGAGGTTTTATTTTATTATTTAGGACTATGATTGTTATGAATCTGATAGGTACCACTTGAGTATTTCAAGTGATTCCTATCGGATCTAAGCCAAATCGCAACTAATCCGCTGTTTTCTATGAGAAAACAGCCACCAAACACAAAAACAATAGAGAAATCTGAGAGAAAACGTAGAAAAAATAGGAAAAACAATAGCAAACGACTGAATTTCAGTAGTCGATGCAAAAGACAAGAAAGATACAAGTTTCCTTCAATTCGAGAGGAAGGAATAACTCTCCAAATCTCTAGCTGTTGCCTAGAGCCCAAAAGGAAAACTTAGATCTCACAAATCACATTC